ATCAGTAACTTGATGTTATAAAACGTGCCTTTGTGTACAATTCAACAAGTAGTAGAACAAGTATATGAGTCGAAGTTTATCTGTTCCTTCTAGAAATAGAAGCGATATCTGGGCCCCTCGATGATTTTGTTGTGACCTATGTACCGGCCGGTCAGAACTGAATTGATGTGTTCGATTAAGTTCTTTGTCAAACAAATCGAAAATCGGGAAACAAACTGTTGGACAATAAGTACGACGTTGTTCCATGTATTTGTCCGCTGATATCATGAGAACAGAGGATTATATGATCCTTATCTAATGGACAAGTCATTGACAAGGTCAGAGTTCATCTACAAGGTCAGAGTTCGACAGAAGCTTTTGAGAGCTACGATTGCCAGTTGGTTCCTGAAGTCATACGCAATAATAGTTTTAGACTTATCCAAGTGGGAGACTGTTGGATTAATGTCTAAGTCCATAACTATAATTGGTAAGACTTGACCCGACCCGGCATGGTCCATTTGGGTTGCATACCATCATGCACTTGGATAGACTATAATGAGAGAAATAAGACACTTATGGTTATTAATATATTATAAGTTCTAGTATATTAATAATAAGAATAATAAGATTATTTAATTAGTATTGATCAAGAGTTAATCTAGGATTAATTAAGTGATCAAAAGAAGACTAATTAAATATATGGGTTGATTGTGTAAATCATCCATACTTATATAGTGGGCTAATGCTCCATGGATAATCAAGTTGGGCTAAAACCCATAGGATGGTCCATGGATGCTCCATGGTGTATTTGAACCCATGGATCCAAGGAAATGGAAAGCCATGACAATTAAGGATTTACCCTAATTGTAACACTATATAAAGATCTTATTCTTGACAAAAATCGGCCACTAGAATCACATTAGAAAGTGAAGAATAGGGCTAGCCGATTTCATGGCGTGTAGAACTCTCTCAAGTTATTCTAAGTGTTTTGATGATTGTGATTCCATTTGAGGCTTCCACACTATTGTGGCTAGGCACTCAAGCTTCATGAAGACTTTCTACATCAAAGAGGTATGTATTCTATTTTGTTACACTCATTATTTTGTATGCTAGATTAGGATAATACCTTGGATGTTCTTATTTGCATGTATAATAGAGAAAACATAGATCCAAGGTATTTAGGGTTGCATGTACACTTAGGAGTGTTAGAATGCTCAAAACCCAATAGATAGGACCCAACACAATATGCTACAACCTAGAAAAGGGATGTCGTAATCTAGTTGTAGAATATTTGAAGGTAAGTGAATGACGATTCACTAATTTTCCACCATGAAAAACGAAAAACCGATTAAGTTTTAAATGCTTTGAAAACTCTTAGATCCTTTGAGATTCATTGAACTTTTCAATGGCATTTTAAATCTCGATATGCCCCTCGAGTTTGTGACTGAGATACCGAAGATCACAAAGCGGGTGTGAATAACCATGCAAACTTACATGGTGCCCCCACATGTTACAGTCATCTACTCGATGTGCCGGTTAACCACACACGCTCCACCGAACTATGAAAAATATTGAGTCACCCTTTGTTACCTTTGCTTAGAACCATTTAGTGTGCCAGTTAACCACACACGCTCCACTAACGTCTTCGCAAGGGCACAAAGTGTAGTTTCATGGAATTGCATCAATTCACTTTTGCCTAAAGTAAATAAGATTGGGAATTTTGTAAAAACACTTAGTTACTTTTATACTTCATTATACTTATAATTGAAGGTTTCTGTCCTATCCTACCCGTTCGGCTAATGACCCTCCACTAGTTAAGAGTGTGGTGGGTAAGAGTGGATACCCATTCAATCGCCATTTTATAGGCAATTTCCTTAAACACCCCTTATAGACCAGCTTTATGAATGAGGCCTACTAACGGTAAGACTGACTTTTACTCATACATATATATATATATATATATATATATATATATATATATATATATATATATATATATATATATATATAATGTTAGACTTTTAATGTTATATATAGTATAGGGTGTATTTTACACTTTTAAAATACTAGGTGGTCAAATTTAATAATTATACTTTTAATTCAATTATATTGTAAACCAAAAATTATATGGATTTATTAAATCTCATTTAATTATACAACTTAATTAATTAATAAAACCATAAGGGTGTGATTTGAACTTTTCAAAACAATACTAGGGTTTTAGAATTTAACATTCCTAAATTAAACTTTTAATCAACTTTTAAATTCCAAAACTTGAGGGCTAGTTTTGAAACATTTTAAAACATTTGGGTTTAGAATTTAAATATTTCAAAATCAAACTTTTTAATCAAAATTTAAATTCCAAAATTTGAGGGAAATTTTTGAAACTTTTCAAAACACATGGATCAAACAGCAAATAACTTAAATTAAACAATTAATCTAATTATTATCTAATTTGACTTAAAAACAATTTCTTGCAAGATAAGTTCCCCAATTAATACAAATAATCAAACTTTAATTAAATAAGGAAGTTATTATCTAATCAATTGGTAATTATCTTTTGTTTAATCAAGGATACACTCAAAATATGATTAAAATTCGAATTTTAATGACCCATAACAGTTAAGGCAAGTATCTTTGAGTAAAACACCAAGAAATCCCGAAATTGTCTCCTTCTGATGCTTGAACTCATCGAGTTCCTATACGGACTCGCTGAGTAGGAGCCAACTCGCCGAGTCCACATTGGAACTCGTCGAGTTCAGCAGTTAGAAAGCCAAAATTTCGATTTTGCAACCAGAATGAACATGCAAGGCATCAATACAATAGAAACCAATCAAGGCTCTGATACCCTAAGTGAAAGTGGGAGAGTTGTAACACCCAGAATTAGAAAGACCAAGAACAAGGAAATGAAACCCTAAGTGAAAGGGGGGGGTCAACTCGTCGAGTCCATACGTGAACTCGACGAGTCGGAGCGGGATCCGGGTTATTGAATAAGTGACCGACTTGTCGAGTCGGTGAGTGGACTCGGTGAGTCTAGTCTGCATGAGAAAAGCCCTAATCCGAGGGTTTGTACCCTATTTATGGAACATTGCACCCCTTCCCCAGCCTCTTTACTCCTCTTTGAGATCCAAAAACCCTAAATCATGAGTGAGAACCCTTGGGAGCAAAGTGGAACCTAGATAAGGGGGTTTGTGAAGTGATTTTGAAGATCAAGATGGCCTTATTGCATTTAGGGTTTCTTTGAGGTAATAAGATGGCCTTATTGCATTTAGGTTTATCTTATGTATAAGATTTGGAGCATTTTGGGTATGAATGAGATCTATGTCGAGTTAGAGACCTAGATCTGAGATTGCTACCTCTGATCTAGACTTGTAATGGTCCAGAAGGTCATAAAGTTCATGTCAATGAGTTATTTGTGAAGCCTGTTTGTCATAAACCCTAGCCCTAGAGTGTTTTAAGCCTATAGTTCCTTGGTTTCACGTAAATTTTGCAACTTTACGTGAGGAATAGGCTTTAGAAGTGTGGATCTACAGTTTGGAGCCCCTACATGGCTCGAAAAGCCACTATATAGATTAAGAACTGGAGCTACTCAACGAGTCACATGGGTGGACTCGATGAGTTGTATGAAGATAGGCAGGAACTCGACGAGTTGGAAGAACAACTCAGTGAGTCTGTTGAAGATTGCCGTGGACTTGGCGAGTCTGTTCTTGGACTCGACGAGTTGGATTGCAGAACCTCAACCTTTTCTAGTTAAGACTTAGATTAGTGAGTTGAGTGTTGACTCAGTGACTTGGACGGGAGGGGACTCATAGATCCTTGAGCTCGACGAGTCGGTAGGGTGACTCGGCGAGTTGGGTCGTATTATGAGAGTTTCATAGTATATGGACTCGACGAGTCAATGGGTTGACTCGGCGAGTAGAGTCAGTCAGGTGGGATGACTTTGACCAGGACATTGACTTTTACAAGAATGGACTTATTTGGCCTTTAGAGTTCTGTTTGGATCTAAGTGATATATGTATTGATATTGTTAGCTCAGGGAGCTAGTGGAGTAATGGTTCAGGGAATTGTCGGACAGCAACCAAAGGATTATCAGCAAGTTCAGCAGTGCTGGTGAGTTTCCCTTTTGTGTGAATAGGTCTACGGCCACAATGCCGGCCCATGTAGTTATGAGTAGGAAGACTCGTGGTTACCCCTAGGCACAATATGCTAGTATAGTATTCAGGACCAAGGTCCAATGATAGCGGGCAGGTGCCCAAGGAGTGGTTTATATGATAGTTTATACTTGTTGTCTGTGTGATACATGTATGTGCCTGGTAGGGAGGTGAGTGTGGGCGAGGTCCAGTATCTCACCAATAGCAAAGTATGGATGGTGCTCCATATCTCATTAGCATCAGAGCAGGGGGCGGGGCCCAAGTTAGGAAAGGAGTGAGTGTGGGCTGGGTTGTACCTCACTATCAGAAGGAGTGTGGGCGGAGCTCCGGCACTCATTAATAGCAGGACAAGGGCGAGGCCTTAGTACATGATTTAGTAGTATATGTTTAGTTGTGAGTTGTGGTATGTTTATTTGTTAATATATGTTAGTCGGCGGGGCCTAAAGACAGGCGGGGCCTAAGAGAAATAGATCTGTAACCGAGCGGGGCTCGAAGCCAGGCGGGGCCGTTGTAGTGGGCGAAAGGGAGGTATATGTTGAGGCAGTGAATATATTTTGATATTTTTTTTCTCTATCGACTATTTTGTTTATAACTTGCAAACTAATTGTAGGAAAATAAATATTCATGAAAGAAAGTGAGGCTGTCCTATACAAGTAGGTAATAATGCTTTCTTCATTCAGTTCAGTTTGAAAACAAAATTAATTTGACTGCAATTTTCATATTTATAGATTTTCAGAATTTCATTTCCACAAACATTATTTACTACTGATATTGATTACATATGATATGAAACTCTTCAATCTGACTTTCACCAATATCTTGTCTTTTAATTAATTAATTTTTATTTTTTTCTCCTTTTATTGCAGATAAATGGCAGCACCAAATATTACTTTTATATCTGATATGGATGTAACTAGGGATGACTTAACTTTCAAGCTTCGTATCATAAACCTTTGGCATCAAATGTCTTTCTACAACAAAAGTGAAAATTGGTCGATTGAAATGATCTTATTGGATGAACATGTATGTTACAAAAACTATTTTTATATTTTCCTTACACATATTTCCTTAAATTTAATTACTTTATAACTTTTTCTTATTGTATTAAATATTGTTAGGGGAACAAAATCCAAGCAATGGTATCCAAACGAAACTTATATCGCTTCAAAAATGTAGTAAAGGATAAGATGACATTTTACATCAAAGGTCCAAACTTTGCAGCATTGAAGACAGGTAGTTTTAAGTTAACTCCTAATGATCAGAAATTCAGATTCGTCCAACAAAATGTTGTCACAGAGTGTAACAATTTTTCTGGATCTCTGTTTGGGTTTTCATTTGTTGATTATCAAGCCGTGTTATCATTGACCCATCCTCAAGATACATCTATTGGTGAGTACATATCATTATATGTTTAGATATAATATTCTTTTTTCCTAACAGAAAAATAACATAAATTTGCCTATTTTTTGTTGAATAGATGTTATGGATTTGGTTGTTGCAATTGCTAAGATACAACAAGATCATCCAGAGAAATCAAAACACAGGCTAAACATCCGCATCCAAGATGAAAAGTTGATTTTCTTATATGTTTACATCTTCTAATTTATAAATTTTAAATTATGTTATCTAAATTTATCATTTTTTTTATAAATATATTGCTTTTCAGCGGTTTGCAACTTCATGTCAGTTTGTGGGGTGAATATGCATACAAGATGCTTGATTATATAAATAACAATCTAGACAATCGCCGCATCGTTGTTATTCTTCAGTTTGGTCAGATTAATGTTTAGAGAGGTATTCAAATTTTATTATTAATATTTATGTTGCCCTCAATAAAATAATATTATATAAATTTTTGTTATAGATCGTCCAAGTGTAAACACCTACTTTACCTCTTCCATGTTGTTCATTAACTCTGACATAGATGAAATTACCAATTTCAACAAAAGGTAACTTATGTTTTATTCTGTTTATTGTACAATAACATCCTTTGCGTAACTACTTTTTTTTTTTTTTTGCATACATAACAGTTTGGATGGAGATGATTGTCCCGATTCATCTACAAATACATTTTCGATTATTCCATCTAATCAAATTTCTACATATGATGATTTTATGGTAAAAAATAACCTGAAGGGTATCGCTGAGGTTTGAGAACCAGTCGAGGTATTTCATGTGTTATTGTTTGTTTTAATTTAATATGTTTCTTAAAATATTTTTACCATGTTTTGTGTTTTTTGTTATGTTTGTATTATATAATTATAATATATTTCATTTACAGTTGTCATATGTATGTTAATCTAAAACACATACCTTTTTTTGCAGAAATGTAATTTCATTATCATGGGCACTATAAAGGGAATTTTACAAAACCAAAAATGGTATTATGAAGCATGTACCAATTGTTTTCGTAAAGCAAGTGAAAATGATGCTCATCAAACAAAGACTTATGAATGTCATAATGGAAATTGCCTAAAAACTACCACTTTGGTTGTTCCAAGGTTGCTACTTTACACTTCAATCGTAATGAACTATCTAATATTCCATGCTTATCACAATATTAATATTATTATCAATTTTTTTATAGGTTTATGATTCTTATACGCGTGCAAGATAATACGGGAACTCTAGCCTTAACCATGTTTGAGAGAGAAGGGAGGTATCTGTTGAAGCAGCCATCTAAGGAGTTTATTAAAAAAAATGATTGAGGTCTTATTTTAAATTTAGTGATAATCATATAACTTCGTTATATACTATCACCTTAAACAAAATGTTTTTTTATTGTTTTTAATTGCAACGTGGAGACGATCTTGGTTTATATCCGGGGGGGAAATTAATGCATTGAAAGGTTTGAAATTGGCCTTTAAAATTTCTGTTACAAAATTCAACATGTCCAACAAAAACAACCAATACGGTATTGCTAGAATAAGTGATGATGAGACTTTAATCTAACAACTTGAAAATAAGTTCACCGAGTCACAGGTATGTACTTACTTATTTTTTGTTGTATTTTATTTAAACATTCATTTACTTTTTAGAACATTATTTAATTGTTTACTTTTTGTATTATACAACCTTCTAATTCAGAGTCGTTTGATTTTGGTTCGGTCGATTTGCAATCTCAAGATATTAAAAATTTAAAGGTAAAATACATTTTAAATTTCTTACATATTCTATAAAACATAAATTCATTTTAGCAATAATAATGTAATACGATTATATATTTTTTTAGGATGTAGTTTCTGGCACAGACGATAACATAACTCCTTCCACTATCGAGAAAAACGGCACAACAAGTGCAGTGAAGATTTTGAACACAACACCGGTCTTAAAGCAAAATTTGGAAGAAGTTTTCGATTTAGAGATAATTGATCACTTATCTATATCAAAAACTCCAAAAATATGTCCAGATGGTCTAGGAAAACAATTGTTGAAAGTAAAGCTGGAGAAAAATGATTGATTTATTCTTTTCTGGGATATTTTAATAGATGTTCCATTTTGCAATTACATGGACAATTACTACTTTTAATTTGAATACTGGATTTTTCACGTTATGGTTTTTCATGCTTTAGACATTTGTTTCCTATGATTGTTTTTTAAATGGTTGTTTGATGTTGACTTTTTATTATCATGTTATATCAGCATACTTTTATAATTTTACATTATGGTTATTCATATTGTTACTTTTCTGTTCATTTATTCTTTATTAACTTTGTTATGATAAATTAATAAAAATTATCATAAATCTAACCTTAGGTCCAGTTCAGTAACTCACACCATCAATCCACCAACGGATCCCAAGATCCACCATTTCATATCTTAAATTATCTGCAATAAAAACAATAAGATGCATATTGCTCTCATATCACTAATTCTTTATTAACTTTGTTATGATAATATTAATACAAATTGATCATAAATCTAACCTTATGTCCAGTATCACACCATAAATCCACCAATGGATCCCAAGATCCACCATTTCATATATTAAATTACCTACAATAAAAGCAACTACCTGCAATAAAAACAATACGATGCATATTGTTATCATATCACCAATTGTATGCCAAATTCAAAAAAAGATGATCAGTTCCAAAAAAAAAAAATGTTAACTATTTTGATCTTCTTACATTTTAATTTTTAATACCTGAATATACACTTTTTTCGATCTAATATTTGTTTCAGCCCAATTCATGTCAAACACAGTAGAAGATAGTCTAATATTACCATCTGCATTGGTAGAATTGCTTTTGTACATCATTGCATTGAATTTGTCATTGCAGCCATGTAAACCTTCTCAGCATTGAAAGGTGCCTCCTAAATTCATAACATTAAAAAATATATACCACAGATTTATTTTTATAAAAAAAAACAAAAACTAAAACATTCCAAATAGTCTTACACGTTCAATATCTGCAATCAAATGCCAGCATGTACTTCCTTCCCTAAATGCCACGTGTCCCTTCCTTAAACCCCCATCAATCCACGTGTCATTCTTCTACCTCTATTCTCACTTCTTTTCCCGCCCATTTTCTACTCTAGGAATCGATATCATCTCCTAAAAATCAGCTGCTTGGTTACCATATTCATCCAAATTCAAACAAATTTTGAATTTTCAATTTCATATCTCCTCATATCCCATATAATCAGCAATGCTTTTGAATTAATTGATCTTTTACCAAGTGTATAGCTATCAAATTAGGAATTAAATCACGATTACAATATTCTCTTCTCCTATTCATTGCATTTATAAATACTGAAACCCTAAATATTTTTATATGTTTTGACGACTTTCTGCTTCTTCATCTCTGCAAAGTGCAAAGTACCATCTTCTATCATACATTTCAATCCACCAGGTTAGTGTAAAACAAAATAATCATACTTTCTGTTATTCTGTTTATTTCTATCTTCTTCTCGTTTCTGTTACAAATTTGATATAGTATCCTAGAAACAAGTATTTCGATTTATGTGTGTTGCTCTCTATGTGTTTTATTCACATAATATCCATGTTACCTTTTTTTTTCTGTCTTTCTTAATAAAAACTTATGATTGTTTTACTAATCATAGGAATGAACTTTAAAACTACTTTGCAATGAACTTTAAGATCTTATACTGCACTATACATTAAAGTCGATATGACTTTCACAAATGACCGTTTTATGAGTTATGAGAGCAAAAAAATTACCTATCATAGAATACATTTGTGCTTATCCAAATCTCAATATCCATTCTTAATAATTGAGAGACAAGGGAGGTATCTGTTGAAGCAGTGAATATATTTTATTATTTTTTTTTCTCTATTTACTATTTTGTTTATAACCTGCAAACTAATGGTAGGAAAATAAATATTCATGAAAGAAAGTCGGGTTGTCCTATACAAGTAGGCAATAATGCTTTCATCATTCAATTAAGTTTGAAAAAAAATTAATTTTATTGTAATTTTCATCTTTATAGATTTTCAAATTTTCATTTCCACAAAAATTAATTACTATTGATTACATATGATATGAACCTTTTCAATGTAACTTTCACCGATGACTATTTTGCCCTTGTCTTTGTAATTTAGCAATTTTGGCAAAACATCAAGATCCCATGATAGACTTTTTTACTCGCGCTGCAATTTTTTTCCTCAATCTGACTTTCACAAATGATTGTTTTGCCCCTTTCTTTAATTGTGAACTTTAAGATCTTTTGTGTTATATAGTTTAAAAGTATACTTTTTAACAATTTGCAATTTGGACTTCTTTATGCAAGTAAATAATGACAATTTGACTACTTTTCATATGCAAAATCAGATTCAATATCTTACAACAATTAGTTATGAAGTTGTTATTCTAATTCATTTTTCACATAAATGGTAGCAGAAAACATCACCTTTATAGCTGATGTGGATTTAACTAGGGATGACTTGGTTTTCAAACTTCGTATCATAAACTTGTGGAATCAAATGTCTTTCTACAAGAAGGATGAAATTTACTCAATTGAAATGATCTTAATAGATGAACAGGTAATTAGAAATTTTAAAAATATTTTTTCTTTGTAGATACAAAATATAATTTTCTTATCAATGCCAATTCATATCAAACTTCTTTTAGGGAAACAGGATCCAAGCAATTGTCCCAACAAAAAACATCTACAAGTTCAAACATACATTTTACATAAAATTTCCAATCTTTGAATCACAAAGGATAAGTTGTTTGAGGTTAAGTCGGTTTCATCATAAACTTACTTTTGTCCATACACTGTTATTACGGAGTGTGATGACTTTTGTGGACCGACATTTGGTTTTGAGTTTGTTGATTATCAAACTATTATCTCATTGATACATCCTCAAAACATTGCTATCAATTCGTTCTTCTTTGTTATTTTTCATAAATGTAATTGGATTGGTAGTTGCTTTTGGTGACATGTTGCGAGATAATTCTGATATGAAAAAAAACAAACTCAACATCCAAATACAAGATGCAAAGTATGTTTTATACACACACACACAAACAAATATATATATATATATATATATATATATATATATATATTATAATTAATTCAATTAATTTGAATCGTTTTTTTCCGGTGGTTTACAAATTCGTGTCACTTTGTGGTGTCATTATGCCTACGAAACGCAAGAATTTATTGATAACAAACCACACGGTCTTCGAATAGTTATCATTCTTTAATATGCGATGCTTACAGTTTGGAGAGGTATTTATTTTTCTTATTATATTTTATTTTATAGTAATTTAAATAACATTGTTGATTAATGTTTCGAGAGGTAATTGATTTTCATAATATACTTTATTTTATAACAATTTAAATAACACATATACAATTTTGTTTATATCAACCCACAGTTAACACATATTTTCCCATGACAAAGCTTTTCATTAACACAAATATTGATGAGATCAATGTTTTCAAACAAAGGTTATTTATGTTTTATCATTTTTTTCTATAATTACCTTTATGTGACCAATAATGTTTATTTTTTTTTTATAAAAATAGTTTTGATGGAGATGATCCCCCTAACACCTCTTCGAATACAAATAAATTCATTCCATTTAATCAAGTTTGTAAGCATGATGATTTAATACACAAATTTCAGTTCAAGACTAATGCAGATGTGTTGGATCAAAGTAAAGAAATTGTCAAGGTTACATTGTGAAAACTGTTGTTGAGTTTTAATTTTAGTATATAGGAAGTTTGAAAAACCTTCTTTGTTTACATTCGTGGTTTAGAAGGTTGAAACATTTGTTCAACATCATTATTTGTTTGAGTGGTTTCTTAAATAAATTATGGACTATACATTTTTTTTCGCATATCTACCTTATAAAAAAATTTCTTAATGCTTCACCTGTATCGTTCTACTATTATGTAAAATCATTACATGGTTACAAAGTGACAAGCACTTAGCTGTGGTCACTACTACAAAAAAGCAAATAAGACCCGCCATATAGGACCCGGTTTTTGGAAAAAACGGGTCTCATTTCGTAAAAACCGGGTTTTATAAAGGGCATGCTTATATGACTCGAGTTCTAACAAATAACCGGGATTTATATCCTACTTAGATAACCCGGTTTCTGCTGCTACAACTGGTACTTTTATCCCTACAATTATAAGACCCAGTTTCTAGCATACAACCGAGTTCAATGACTGTTAGATACAAATTATAAAAGGGTTATAGCACCCGTTTTTCAACAAACGGCTTTTCTGTCTAGTAGTGTACTCGAGCCAATCTGTTGTATAGAATATGAAACCGAAACTAAAATGATATAATAGCTTGAAGCTCAAACTCAATTGAGCCGTAATTCTTGCGTTCAAGTGCATTCAAGTAATTTGCAATTTCAAGATTGTATTGATTGTATATTAATAAATGAGAATATATATTTTATTTCCATTGAAATGAAATACGATTATCATTTAACATAGATTTAAACAGAAACAGAACTAGATTAGGCTTGCATTTAAACTCCATTAATCAAATAGAAAATAATGAAATACTTTATATATGACCAACCAGTATCATCGATCCTTGCTCTTTAGATATTGTGGCTACGGAACCTTTTAGAAATAGATGAAGAATTGATAGTGTTTACACGTCTTCGATTTATCCCTTTCTTAGTATCAAACCAGTTAGAGATTGAACTAATTGAATTATAGGATGATGGGGTAAAATAAAGGGGTTATGTGTGTGTGTGTGTATATATATATATATATATATATATAGATAGATAGATAGAGAGAGAGAGAGAGAGAGAGAGAGAGATTTGGAGGGAATGCAAAGTTAATTTGGGAAACATAAATCAAGTGGCGGGAATGATAAATTGATTTTGGAGGGAAATAAAAAGTATTATTTATTTATTTATTTGACATATTGAATAAAATAATTTTAAGACATTAATTATTAAATTATTTCTCAAATATGAGTTAGTGATACTAATTATTTTGTTACTTTATTTTAAG